GACCAAAAAGCTCAATTTCAATAACCTATAATGAGCACATAGCAGACAAAAAGAAAAAGTATCTTTTATCGCAGGGTGTCACACCACATCTGTTTAAGATATAGCTAGACTTTAACTTTGACTAATTTTATTCATGAGCTTTGTCATCATAATCACTTACCCATTAATACAACATTAATAACATTAATACAAAATCAAATATGATCCATTTTCACAAATCTAGGAGTTGAAATACACAATTAATACTAGTGGTAGAGGCTAACAAGTTGTCAACATTTAAGAGTAATGTTGGCTGCAATACCCTACAGGTTAAAGAGCCACTATTATGGGTTTTTAAAAATGATCTTCCATGCAGTGTGCAACACAGCTTTAAGTAAATTAAAACATCCAGCTGAGGGTTAAATCTGAAAAAATATAATTTTTTTAAATAAAAGATTTGACTCAGAGTTGTTAAAATTATTCATCATTCGTCTGGATCTTTTGTCTGTAAAATGTCTCGTTTGCTGCAGTTTGCAAAAGATGTATTTGTAATTGCTCCATGTGGCTTGTAATCATGTATCTGTTATAGGTTAGGGCTTGTAATATATCTCTCATATCGCATCCAAAACCACATTGAAAACTGGATGTGTACTATGGCCACCATCAGCTGTTCAGTTAAACTTTTTCCAGTGTGTGGATTAATACTGAATGTGTGTCGTTGTTATTACTTAGGGTTGTGGTTAAGAATAGAGGAATTTGCTGATGTTTAACTGCATTGCTTTAAAGCATTTCTGCATTGGGCTCACACATATACGCTGTGCTCTGACTACTTCTTGGGCATTTCTGTTTCTCTCTGTCTTGCACTGAACGCTGTCAACCAATCACAACAGACTGGGTCATTGCAGCAATCAGCGCAGATTAACCTCATGCTAAAGAGGGGTTTGGGAACAAATGAATCACTGAACAAATCATATGGGAGTCGTTGGGATAATTAGGTAAAAAAATGCATATTATAAGACAATCAAAGTGTTTTTGACCTTGCATGTATATCAACCTGTTGTTGGAGAACCCAAAACCAAATATGACCTTTCTTAATGCAAAATAGGGCTCTTTAAGTGTATTGGCACATAGCATTGATTTGCTCAATTCTTGGCTCAAGGTTCTTTACTAATTCTTCCCCATTCTCTGCTCCCCATGGATTACTCTACACTCTCTACTGTTCTATCCAATAGATATTTAAAAATATATATTGTATGTATTTTTTAAAAAGTAAGAAAATAATCTAAACCGTAATAAGCATTTGAATTAGGTCTAAAGAGTGAGTAAATAAATAGCAAATTCTCATTGTTGTGTGAGCCATCCCTTTATCAGGTTAATATCTGTCTTTGACATACAGGAGGCCGTCTGAGTGCTGAAGGTTTCCAACTCTATAACTCCTCTCTCCTGCTGAGAAAGCACTTGCTGATGGAGGTGTTCAGACAGGGCTGCTGTGGAGGTCACACGCTGAATGCGCACTCTGAAACAGAAACAGTAAAAGTAACAAGGTGATACAATGTTTTACAGTGGCTTAGTTTTAGTAATGTTTGAATACCATGTAAACACAGCACTATTGATTTAGTTATTATACAGAATCATTGTGAAAACTTTTACAAAAAAACAGTTGCAGTTTCACAAAATTAAATGTGTCAAAAATAGCTTCATGTCATTTAGAGAAGTACATGCGTATTGAAACAAAACAGGATGTTGTTATCTCAGGAGAGAAAGTTCAAGATGTCACAGAGTGTAAATACCTATGGGTTTGTCTGGACTCCTGTCTTGGTTTTAAAACACATATAAAAAGGTATGTAACAAGGTCAAATTGAATATAGGTAATTTTAGGTTTATTGGAAATTCTTTATCAAATAAGGCTACAAAAATGTATATAAATTCTACGATCCTCTCTCATATGAATTGTCTGATAATTTGGTTTAACACAAAAACAAGTTTTACAGTTTTGAAACCTTTCGAATTATTATATAAAAAGAACTATATAAATATTATATAAACAAGAACAACAAATTTTGGATAAAAAGTTTAGTTTTCAACACTGTACTATTTACATTTACATTTAGTCATTTAGCAGACGCTTTTATCCAAAGCGACTTACAAATGAGGACAAGGAAGCAATTTACACAACTGTTAGAGCAACAATGAATAAGTGCTATAGGCAAGTTTCAGGTCTTTAAAGTCTAAGAAGGAAAGTATTAGTAATTTTTTAGTAATTTAGTAATTTCTTTTGGAATTTTTTAGTAAAGATTTTAGTAAAAAAAAAATTTTTTTTTCAATATTTAAAAAAACCATAGCCTGCTTGGTTGGGAAAAAATCAAGTTTAAAAATGGTTGTGCAGTTTAAAAGATTGGCATCACCGTGGCGCAGTGGGGAGCACAATCGCTCACAGCAAAAAGGTCGCTGGTTTGAGTCTTGGCTGGGTCAGTTAGCATTTCTGTGTGGAGTTTGCATGTTCTCCCCATCCCAGTGTTGATGTAGTTTTCCTCCCGGTGCTCTTATTTCCCCCACAGTCTAAAGACATGTGGTATAGGTGAATTGGTTGGGCAAGCTAAATTGTCTGTAGTGTATATATGTGAATGAGTGTATATGGATGTCTCCCAGTAAGGGGTTGCAGCAAGAAGGACATCCGCTGCGTAAAACTTTTTTCTAGTTTAAATCTGTAGAAAACAAAAGACTTGAGGTACAGATAGAGCTGATTGTACTATTCAACTTAAAAAACTTGTTTTGGTCAAGCTTGTTTTTCTTTGAAAGCATCCCATCAGTGAAATAAGATACCACAATCTGTTAGAGATTGTGATTTTTTTGAGTATCATTTTTAGAAATTTTCTTATTATTATTCAATATTTTGAACACTGGGCTTTTTGATGTTGTTGTGGTTGTTTTCTGTTGTTTAATTGAGTTTTGTTTTTAGTTGAATTTGTTTTTTTATTGGTATGGCCTTTAACATCTGGCAAAGGGACTACCAATGAAAACATAAAGGTAAAGTTGGTTTTATATTCGCACATTCAGACTTTCTCCTAATATAATTTCATAAAAGTATTATTTGCAAACTCTAAATAGCGAAATCATATTAGCAGCCAATGACTATCAAAGTACAACATTGTTCACAGTCAAATAAACAGTGTAATGTTGTTTTCAAGTCACATTTGCAGGTTATTTTAGAACGAATCTTCTAAGTGCCGTAGTAAACGATGCAGGGAATGTGTCACAAGTTGTCACTGAATTAATGTGTGAATATAAAACCAACTTTACCTTAATAATGAAAACTAGTCTTTGGGTTAATATAAGTATATTTACGTTCTAGGTGAATGATTAATGTACACTGAGAAATAAACTAAACTAAACAAAATCACAGAGTAATGATGTATGCAATACAATGTTACTCTGATATAATATAGAAATAAGTAAAATTTAAAGGGATAGTTTTCAAAGGGATACAATTTCTAATGTATTTACTCAGCCTCAAGTATTTCTTTTTTTATAGAAGAGAAGCTATTTTGAAGAATTACTGTGTTCAGCAATATAAAGAAACTTAAAGAAAAGGTTTGAAAAAAGCAGGGCGAGTAAATGATGACAGAGTTTTCAGTTTTAGGGGAACTATCTATCCCTTTAATTTACTGTGGTATTTTCACAGCTCTTCCAAAACAACACCACAGTACCGTGTCCAAAATAGTTCATAATGCTTTAAAATATATACATCAGTTTGTTATACATGCACACAGGCGACGTGTCTTACCGTATTCGGAAGTTTTTAACTGCATCCCTGGAACGGTAAACCGATTCTCCGTTGTCAGAGCACCAGCCGTCAGCCATATCTGACACACAGCGTCAAAAGATAAAAGTCTTCACATATAGTGTAGAACTCCCACCGGTTACTATAAAAACACTCACATCAAGACTAAGGCAGCTTAAAATGTTTTGATATAATTCACTCGTGAATGCAATACTGCTGAAAACAGTTAACGCCACACATCAGAGCGTCTTGTTGCATAGTAACAATCTAAAACGGAAGCGGCCGGAAGCCATATGCACGCATGCTCAGTACTGGCAAACATATGCTGTTCTCAAATCAGCCTGTGCTGCTTTGAGATCGAACTTCTGATAAATGACCGGTGCTCACTACTGATCTGCAAGCGGTAACACATTTACTTTTCCTGTCACCCACTGGCAACAAACTGAAAGCTGTTCCACATGTTTGTTAAACACGGTCGATTATTTAGTTTCCTTATGTCGCATTTTACTTGGGAACTATAGACATTTTTGCTTTGTTTGAAATGTTTTGAGGTTTTTAGTGAAAAGGAATCTTACATTTAAAATAAACATATTGCGTTGAGCTGACCTCCTTAGTTTGCCAGACTATACCAGCTCGAATTTCTAAATGTGTATTGTAGCCTAACCAGATGACAAGAACCAAACGGACTGGGGTAAATATGGTGTATTTGCACATTTAGAGATTGTCCTTTCATCAGAAATGTCTCATTTGCTAATTTTAAACGAGGAAATTATATTAGCAGCCAGTATCAAAGTACGTTGTTCACAGTCAGTTTAATAAGGTTAGAGCTAATGTTGTTTTAAAGGTGTACTTGCATGCTAATTCAGACCAAATATTCAAAGTAACGTGGGTTAAAATATAGGCACCGTAAACAAATGTGTACATTCAAAACCAATTTTACATCAGTGCCAAACGAATCTAAAACCAACAAATCAACTTGTTTACGTTGTTTTTTTAAAGAAACATTTTTTCTTTTTTCTTTTTTTTTAAACATTCATCAGTTGCAAATATGCAAGTGTGGAAAACAAGTATTAGAGTGTACCAGGTGTCCAGCCAAACAAGCAAAAGATGTTTTGTAGGGCTGAATGAATTGTATTTCACACCAGTATTTTATGCACAGCAAATTTGCACAAGATCATTCTTCTATCGAAGAGACCTTGTTTTAAGGTCAGACGAGAAATTTTCCTCCAATAAACTCAAAAAAACATTTGCCACAAACAGAAATGAAATTCACAAATCAACAAAAAGTCAGAGAAAACCATCCCAGGCAGTTCATTTTTCAAAAACAGGGAAAAAGCTGTCATCAGAACTTCAGAAACTGAGGTTTGAGGATCTTAGCGAATCAGAATCTAGTAGCATCCGTAAAGACTCCCAACCAAATCAAGATAAAGAGTTTGAGATTGTGTTTGGTGTGGCCCCATGTTTATTGGCTCTCACTCGGGGAAGAAGGAGTGCAAGTTGTCTGTTTGTGAAAAGTGGCGAAGGGCCGGAGAGAGATGCCATTCTAAGGGTCTGTCAGGAGGCCATCAGACGTGGTGTACAGATAAAAAGAGTTAATAAACAAACGCTTGAGAAGATGTGTGATGGAAAGGTACACCAGGGACTGTGTCTGCAAGCAAGTTGTCTTGGGTTTATCAAAGAAGAAAGACCAATAACATCTCTTGAGGTGAAGAATCAGAGGCCCTTATGGCTGGTTTTGGATGGAGTGCAGGATCCGATGAATCTTGGTGCCATTTTGCGGTCTGCATACTATCTAGGAGTGGATCGGATTGTCAGCAGCATTAATAACAGGTAAACTTAGCATTTGTGTTTAATGCATTTTAGTCTTCTGAAATGTATTTTTTAATTAAATATTTTATTTTTTGTTTTGTTTTGATAGCTGTCCTCTGACGCCTACTGTAAGCAAAGCCAGCGCTGGGGTGATGGAGGTCATGGATGTGTTTGGCTGCAGCAATTTGAAACGCATGATAAAGGTCTGGAAGCTTACCGCTCTAGTTCACTTCTCTGTATGGCCTGAAGAGGGCAGTTAAATAATACTTTTGTTGTTTAGTTCAGCGTTTCCTATGGAGCGCAAGGACTGTTTTTACTTTTTAAGGGGGGGTAATACATTTTTAAAAGCATAAAATTTTTTAAATGCTTTGCAGTTTTTAGGGTTTCTGCAAGGTCTTAAAAGACTTAAAATGCCTTATCTCAAAATCAAAATTTTAGGCCTTAAAAAGTCTTAAATGTACTGAAATATTGTGTTGTAGGTCTTAAATCTTTTTTTTTTAACAGGTCTTAATTTTCCTTTGTTCTTAAAACCCATGCAATCACCAACAATCCATCTCAATAAAACTTTAAACTTTTAATTTAAAAAGGTAATTTTTTAAATTAGGCAAATAAAAATATTTTCTATCTGATCCATTTGACAATTCGTTAGCATTAAGCACTTTAGTGTAAAATTTCATTCATAATGATTTTAAAAATGTCTTTAAAAGTCTTAAACTTAACTTGTTGAAACCTTCAGAAACCCTGGTTTTGAGTAAAATTTAGTTGTTTAAAGACTGGTCATAAATAGGGAGGTAAACTGCGTTTTGTTTTCATTTTGACTGCCATATTGCTTTGCAAGGTCTTGTTGCAAAAAATTAATACAATTATATTCATTTGTACATTATTTGGGATAAATTTGTATTGTAAGAAAAAATATAATACAAATTAAGTAATACAATTTCATTGAAAATGATGAAGGAAGAAAAGTTTGGAAAGAAAATAAAAGTTCTGATTTGAGGCAGTCTGTATCTGTATCTGTATAGCAGGTCACACACCAGAAGCGCCGCGACACGGCGCGTACATGACAGTTTAAAGTATCACACACCAGACGCGCACATTCGAAGGATATTTAACATGAAACTAATCAGATGGCGCTCTGTGGCGCGGCTGAAAAATGAACTGCGTCCTGAGCCGTCGCCGGACGCCGCCGACTTGAGGCGCCAGTGTGTGTATCCTGATAGAAACCTATTTTTAGAATTCTAAAGTACATGGCGCTGCGGGGCGAGCGGCGCTTCTGGTGTGCGACCTGCTTATCTCTCTAGATCATTCATTTGCAATCCAATTTCTCCTATTTTCCCCAACCTGTTCACAGTTGACGTCATAAGTTAAACACAAAATTTTACAAGTAACTATTACAGTTGCTATTGCTAAGAATATTAGTCATAATGATTTTTTTCTACAAATACAAAAAAATGTATAGTTTTTAGCTAATTTTGTTTCTTTTGTTCGCAAAAATTTGATAGTTTGGAAAATTTCATCAAATTAAAGCAAAAACATGGTAAGACTGTTTAAAAGTAAGAAAAGCCAATACCTGGGTAAACTATTGTCAGTATAAAAAAAAAACAAAATCACACCCAGTGAAATATGTTCTGTAGCTTATATTAAAGCATAATTGCTTTATTTGAAAGTGGATATTTTAAAGGGAATTTTCATAACATACATTTAGTTTAGTTTACATTGGCATAGCAAAACATGTAGTTTTTAAAAAGGAAATAAAAGAGAATTTGAGATTTGACTTTCTAAACCCATATAAATCCCTGAGAATTTGTTTAAAAATTATAATAATAATAATAATTATATAAATATATATCTGTAGCCTGTAGGGGGCAGTTAAAGAAAACCATTGAGTTTTTGACTGAGACTTTTTAGTTATTTTAAAAAATCTTATGCTCATTCATTAGTTTTTTTTTTTTCATTATTTAATGGCTGTTACTAATGTTGTTTGACATTAAAGGTGAAGGTGGAGGAAGGTTGGCAGGTAGTCGGCACTGTTGGGTTGGAAGAAGGCAGTTCTCAATCCAATGTTTTGTCATGTTCGGATTTCAAGATGTCCAGACCAACACTGCTGTTAATGGGTACATTTACAAACCTATATAGAGTAGTAATTGCTTTCATCTACACTGTTTATGCTAATGTGTTTGTGTGTATGCTGTCAGGTGGAGAGGGTGACGGTCTCTCTTCAGAACTGCGTCAGCTGTGTGATGTTCTGATTACAATCCCTCCACGTAGACACATGCATCCTGGAGTAGAGTCACTCAACGTGTCGGTAGCCACAGGTATGCCTTTCTCAAGTATATAAATATTGTTTAAAAGTTTTTTTAAAAATTTATTTTTGACTTTTTTGCCTTTAATTAGATAGGATAGTATTGAGACAGGTAGCGAAGTTGTAGAGAGAGAGAGAGGGGGGCCGGGATTTGAACTCTGGTCTCCGTGATGTGATACTGCACCATATGTCAGTGCTAACCACTAGGCTATTGCGCCGACAGTATTGTTTTTAATTGCGTAATTTTATATATATATATATATATATATATATATATATATATATATATATATATATATATATATATATATATATATATATATATATATATATATATATATATATATATATATAAATAGAAACAACAATTTAAAGAAAAATACATATGCATCTTGTAATGTATATACTTCAAGGCTCATCGTCCTATTCATTTAAAAGTCTTTCATGGAGCATACATGAGATAAAATAAATAAATAAACTCACCAATACATAGACTCATGTAAACTGTTTTAACCTTACTGCACTTTAATTGTATACTCAGTTCAATGATTAATGATCAATGACAACTAGTTCTTAATGATTAATTTAATACAAAAGAAGGTGTAGGTTACTGATTTTATCACAACAAAACACAAAATAATAAATAATAGTAAATAATAATAAATAATAAGAGCTGATTAACACCACATATGTTCACCAAAACATATTGGATTTATTGCATCCGTAAAATAGATATATGCTTGTACACCACAAATACTAATAGGACCATATCTGCTTCCATTGATGTCTGGCTATATATAATATGTATATACCAAAAATATTGGATTAATTAAAAGTTTAGTAAAAGACTATGCTGTTATAACCCTGTATATGTATTATAACTTTTTTGTGATGATGATGATTTTGTCTTTTATCACAATTTCTTGATTGTTAGTATAGATTGATATCTGAAAGACAATAAAATAATACATTATTTAAAACAACTTAAAAAAAAAACACCCATAAATGTTGTAAATTGATTTAATTCTATGCACATTGTTCTTAATACTGAAAAGTATTCATAAAGCTACAGTTTTTCCACATTTTTTTTTGTCACAGCCTTATTCCAAAATGGATTAAATTAATTTATTTCTTCAAAATTCTACACACAATACCTCATAATTTCAATGTGAAAAAAGATTTTTTGAAATTGTTTAAAACTAATTTTTTTTAAACTAAAAAAACCTGACAAATCACATGTATATCACTATTCACACCCTTTGCCATTAAGGTCTAAATTTAGCTCAACTACATTCTGTTTCCACTGATCATTCTTGAGACACTTCAGCAGCTTAATTGGAGTTCTCCTGTGGCAAATTTGGTTGATTGGACATGATTAAATAAGGCAAACACCTGTCTATATAAGTTCCCAGGGTTGATAGTGCATGTCAAAGCACAAACCAAGCAAGACGACAAAGGAATTGTCTGTAGACCTCCGAGACCTCGATTGTCTCGAGACACTAGGCTGGGGATAGTTACAGAAAAATTTCTGCTGCTCTGAAAGTTCCAATGAGCACAGTGGCCTCCATCTACTGTAATTGGATAATGTTTGGAACCACCTGGACTCTTTCTAAACCTGGCCGGCCATCTAAGTTGAGTGATAAGGGGAGAAGGGCCTCAGTCAGGGAGGTCTGCCTGAGCTCCAGCATTCTTCTGTGGAGAGAGAAGAACCTTACAGACTGACAACCATCTATGCAGCAAGCCAAAATATTAATGGAGTGGCCTCACAACAACTCAGTGAATGTTCTTGAGTGGAGAGATCTGAAAATGGCTGTACACTGTCATTTCCCATCCCACCCGATAGAGCTTGATAGGTACTGCAAAGAGGAATGGGAGAAAATTTCCCAAAGCAGGTGTGCCAAGCTTGTGGCATCATATTCAAAAAGACTTGAGGTTGTAATTGCTGCCAAAGGTGCATCAACAAAGTATAGAGCAAAGGTTGTGAATACTTATGTACGTGTGATTTTTCAGCTTTTATTTTTAATAAATTTGCAACAATTTCAAAACATCTTTTTTTTTTACCTTGTCTTTATGAGGTATTGTGTGTTGAGTTTTGAGGAAATAAATTCATTTAATCCATTGGAATAAGGCCGTAACAAAAAAAAATGTTGAAAAATTGAAGCGCTATGAATACTTTCCGTTGCACTGTAAATGTATGTAAATATTATTTAAAGGAAAGGTTCACACAAAAATGTCAATTCTGCTATCATTTACTAACCCTTATTCTATTGTGAATGTTGGAAACCTTTAATCATTTTCTTAAATAGTTTTGATTAACATAACAAAATACTAAACAATTTTTAGCAATTAATTAGGTTTGTGAGTTTTAGGAGTTTTGGGTGAAATAAACAATGTAAACCTTTTTAATACTGAGTATATTTACCTTTTTTATTGTGTTGCTGGTTTTCTGTTTTCTCAGGCATCCTGCTGCACTCTCTTCTGTCCACCCGCAAAGGAAACTGTTGATGATGATGATGATGATGGCAACAGCGACAAGGCTACAGCATTATTTACTCTGACGTCTCTCATTAGCCTCCAACAGTGATTAATGACTGGATTACTTCATCAATTAACAGTCGGAGAGTCTGGAGAGGCCCATTGATCAGATAAAGAGAGCCTGTAGATGCATTTTGGTCCAGTTACTGACTATGACCACCGTGTTTAAGGCAAGACCTGCACTGCACCATGTCTCTATCATCTTAGCAACGATCAAGACATGCTTTTAAAAGCAGAGACATAATGATTCATTAATCATCTACTTTACGAAGTGTTACTGTAGACTTTTGCCAGATTTAAATTGATAAAGTCATGTTAAATGAACTATGGATGTTTTTGATATTATATTAAAAATAAAATGATGAAAAGCCATGAAAGCTGAAAAGATAATTCTGAGTATTACATCGACATTATAATGTTGTACTTTAATATAATTGAATGCAATTCATTGTTGTTTTTTCATTTTTTAACATTTGTTTAGTTTATTTCTATGTTTGGTTGTATTGTTTTGGCTGGGAAATACCATGTAAGGGAACTGGAGAGGAGAATCCAATCGATGGTTGAACCTAGGGTCTAGGAGGAACAATACGGTTTGCATCCGGGCCGTGGCACACTGGACCAGCTCTATACCCTCACCAGGGTGCTCAAGGGTTCATGGGAGTATGTCCAACCAGTCCTCATGTGTTTTGTGGACTTGGAGAAGGCATTCGATTGTGTCCGTCGTGGCATCCTGATTGAGGGTGCTTGGGGGAGTATTGGGGTAAGAGGCGCTATGTCATGGGCTATCTCGTCCCTGTATGAACAGAGTAGGAGTATAGTTCGCATTGCCGGCAATAAGTCAGACTTGTTTCCAGTGCATGTTGGGCTCTGACAGGGCTACCCTTTGTCCCCAATTCTGTTCATAGTTTTATGGACAGAATTTCAAAGCACAGCCTTGGGCTAGAGGGGGTCTGGTTCGGGGACCACAGGGTTTCATCTCTTGGCTTCATCGAACGTGGACCTTCAGCATGCACTGGGGCGGTTTGGTGCCGAGGGTGAAGCAGCTGGGAAGAGAATCAGCACCTTCAAGTCCGAGGCCATTGTACTCCTTCAGAAAAAGGTGGTTTGCCATCTCCAGGTTGGAGGAAAGTCCTTACCCCAGGTTGTGGAGTTCAAGTATCTTGGGGTTTTGTTCAAGAGTGAGGGAAGGATGGAGCATGAGATTGACAGGCGGATCGGTGCAACGGCAGCAGTAATGCGGTCAATTTACAGGTCCGTTGTTGTGAAGGAGGAGCTGAGCCAAAAGGCAAAGCTCCTGATTTACCAGTCAATCTACGTTCCTACTCTCACCTATGGTCATGAGCTTTGGGTGATAACTGAAAGGACAAGATCTCGTATACAAGTGGCCAAAATTTGTTTCATTCGCAGGGGGGCAGGGCGCACCCTTATAGACAGGGTGAGGAGCTCTGTCACCCGGGAGGAGCTCGGAGTAGAGCCGCTGCTCCTCCACATCGAAAGAAGTCAGCTGAGGTGGCTCGTGCATCTGTTTCGGATGCCTCCAGGACGCCTACCTAGGGAGGTGTTCCAGGCATGTCCCACTGAGAGGAGGCCTCGGGGAAGACCCAGGACACGTTGGAGGGACTATCTATCTCGGCTGGCCTGGTTTCTGGCGAGAGGGAAGTCTGGTGTTTTCTCCTAAGAGTGCTTTCACACCTAGACTTTTGTTTCTGAGCCTGTCTCGTTTGTCCAGTTAGTGCAGATCGTTTGGCATATGTGAATCCACCAATCGTGCTCTGATCCGCGCCAAAACAATCGCTCCGAGATCGCTTGAATGAGGTGGTCTCGGCTTGAAACAAACTCTGGAGCGGATCGATTGTAGTGAGAAAGGAAACGATCCGAGCCCGGTTATATCAAAGTGTTTTATGGATATGTAATAGGCATACGGCTATATGAAGAGAGAGTTATGATTAGGGCGGGAGGTCATTCCAGACATCTCAAGTCTCTCTGACATTTGGGGAGTTATCCACAAATGCACAGAGACTCCCGGATGCCCGCAAACGAGTGATAATCTGCTGGTAATCACACGTCTCCCTCCCGTTCCTTAAATACGTTGCACACCCTTCTCATCCCTCACCACCGCACCCCTCCTCGCTCCTCAGACACGTTACACGCACCCTGTCAAACACCACCAAACAAAAGTAATAGAACTTTAAATTCATGGAAAATACATTTATAATGTTACAAAAACTTATTTTCATAGTCAATGCTGGTCTTTTCAACTTTTTGCGCTGTATTCTTTAAAATAGTGTTTCTCAACCACGTTCCTGGAAGACCACCGCTGTTCTGCACATTTCCGTGTCATCTTAACCAAACACGCCTGATTTAGATCATCAACTCATTAGCAGAAACTAAAAGACCAATAATCGATGTGACAGACAAAGGAAACATCCAAAACAGGCAGTGTTGTTGGTTCTCCTGGAATGTGCTTGAGAAACACTGCTTTAAAGAAACTAAAAATCCCTGTTCCCAATGATCACCGATTTTCATTATTGATAATAATAAGAAATGTCTCTTTAGCACAAAATTAGCATATTTCAAAGATTTTTTAACTAGAAAACACTAGAACTAGAAAAAAAGACTAGATTTTTTTTTTGAGACTAACTGCTGTTGAAAATTCAGCTTAACCATGACAGGAATGAGTAACATTTTCAAATATTAAAACTAGTGGTTGATGAAGTTCACAAATCAGGTATGCAAGTAAAAGTACAGACATCCTAATGAATTGTTAGTTTACTAAAATATTAAAAACTTTTACATTTTTCTTGGTTAAACAAATGATATTACAAGTTAAAAGTAAAAAGTACTGACCATAAAATATGTTAGCAGTTTGACAGAAATAGTGGCTTTTCTGTGCTCAGCATAAGTACTCCCCTCACAAATCTCTCTTGTAAATTCATATTGTTTTAATAGTATTGTTCATATTGTTTTAATAGTTTAATAATTTTCAATTACTAAATATTTTTGGTAACTAAAATATTATTTTAATAAATATATGTTTAATAAATCTGTTTTTTTAATGCACAACTTAATTGTTTTATGTTCAATCCACTTAAACTTGTAAAAACAATTGAATTAACTTAATCAATTTGTTTTTGGATAACATTGAGTTGTCTTGATCCCAGCAATTTTTACAATGTAGTATAAAAAATAAAATTCTGCATTTATTTGATAAATGCAATTTAAACAAAAGAGAAGTACTATTTAAATTTTTACCAGCAATTGTTTTATTTGATTGCATTTTAAATGATTTATTCCTGTTGTTCCGTGTAATACTGTACATGTATATCAAGACAGCAATAGATCAGTTAATTCAGCAGGTGGCACTGCATGCATATGTTAGTAGATGGCAGCACTGACCTTTTTTTTTTTCTTCCTGAGACAAGAAGAGTGACTGCTGGTTCCAGACCGGTAACTTCTAGCAGCATTTACAGAACGTAAAGTTCAACAAATACATAACTCACACTTCCCTTCTCCCTTCATGCTTCACAGCAAGGTGCTGACTGCAGGTTATGGACCAAGATGATTTACAATTAAACTAAAATGGGCATGATTGGCATGCCTGTGGGGAGCGGGACAGGACGATTAAGCTGCTAATACTATATAGGCAGTTAGACCTCGGTTTCATTTTACCCATAGCTGCAGGGGAGAGGAAAGATATTAGATGAGATTGAATGTAATGAAGCTCTCTATTGTTTTTACAGGGAAGAATGATCTGAAGGTCTTTGACAGAAACAGCTCTGATGTTTCTCACCAAGCAGCCAATTACTTCATCCTTCCTGTAGTTAAATGGACAGATTTAAGGATTTGTTATACTGGTATTCATAAAAGGTCATTTACAGTAGATCTCTAAATTATAACCATTTTTGACATATGTGATGTGACTTAAGCATGTTTTCTTTTGCATTAAGACAGAAAAGTTCATAAGAGTGAGAACAGATTGACATAGAAAATCATATTTACAGCTATATTTATTTTTAAATTTGTTTTTGTGCTATTAGACATGATTAGAGAAGAACTCGGGTCATTTCGAAAGCAACTTTTGTGAATTCACTATATGGGTTATTGCTACTAATCAACTAAATTTAAAACCAAAAGTTACTTGATCTAAAATAGAGGTACCCAAACTTGGATGTAAATATAGTTGCCATGGTTAAGATCCTAATTTATTTAATAATATTTAAAAAATGACTACAAAACATTGCTGTATATTAACTAACACAGTATTTTGTATTTTACATAGAACTTACTACAGTGAAAACAAAACAATCGTATTTATAACAGAATTACATAAGATTTTGCCTTGATTTGCTTGCCGATGCTTTCTGCAAAGTTCTCTATTCGTCAAGTGACAGTACTTTAATTTTAGTTTGCTTTTTTTCGTAGCTCAGGAATAAAACAGAAGAGGTTACATTAAAAAGGTCTCTGCGTTAAAGCCATTCACCCCAACAATCTCCATCATTCTAACTCTCCTCTCAGTTGGGATGATGGGCCAAATCAAAGCTTACAATGGGCCAACTTTGACCCGCGGGCCCTACTTTTGGCATCACTAATCTAAAATAATCAAATTAAATAAGTTTGTTTTTAAAACATTTTCAGTCAGGGGCGGACTGGGGCTAAAAATCAGCCCTGGCACTGTAGCCACACCAGCCCACATTACCACACCGACACAGCCCCATCCACGGAAACGCACATTCACTACTTATATTGGTGTACAGATGGTGAAATAATATAAGCAGTACCATAGATATTTAAACATTTAATGTATGTGACTGGAACAAAAACAACACATTTATAACAAATTTATATATGTTCATTTCATTCATTCATTTTCTTTTCGGCTTAGTCCCTTTATTAATCTGGGATCACCACAGCAGGATGAACTGCAAACTTATCCAGCATATGTGTTATGCAGCGGATACCTAATTCACCTATAGCGCGTGTTTGGACTAGTGAGGGAAACCGGGAGGAAACCCACGCAAACATGCAAACTCCACACAGAAACACCAACTAACCCAACCGAGGCTTGAACCATCGACCGTCTTGCTGTAAGGCGACAGTGCTACCCACTGCGCTGCCCCCTTTCGAGACCATTTCAGTTGATTTTATGCATTTGGCAACAATTAGCTTGTGTTGCACTTATTGTTCGTTTGACATTCTTGCCAGATTTTGATTACGTCCACGTAACCTCTGATTGGGTCAGCCCCTCTCGAAACGAGCTGGCCATTGCTGATTGGCCATTGCTTAACATTTATTATTATTATTATCATCATCATAATATTCACATCTTGCAAGAGATAAAAGCTGCCTGCATGTAAAAACAATACATATAAAAATAAAAAATAGCATAACA